AAACATACAGGTCTCAACAATTTTGGTGTGGTGCATTGGTAAAGTACTAAAAGCAGGGGCATAGTTGCACTCGGTAATCTTATGATGTTATCTTGCGCTTCAAAAGTAAATTAGAAAAGCTTCTAATTTCAGCTCTAAGAAATGGATTTAGTACATTCGCAGTAAGGGCTACTGAGAATTTAGTGAAAACTGATGAGCAAATAAATACCCCAGACAGAGGGCAGGTGTTGATACGTGCTCTATCCAAGAGTTGCATAGCAGGCTTTAAACTTCATGCACTAAAAAGAAGTAGGCTCCAAACTTTGGGTTTTCATTTGTTCATTTGGCAACTATTTTAGGTAAAACTTATACTTTCAAATAACTGAACATGATAATAAGAGAATTCAAATCCTTCAGAAAGTTAATACATATAAAGCTTCAAAAATTCACGGTGTATTCTGAGGATTATACCAGGAAATTAGTGCAATATGGACGTTAAAAGGTACAGATTCATCGCGATTTCCGGCATCATTGTCATTTTGGACAGTCCAGAATGAAGCCATGGGGAGTATTCACTTACCCAGATAACAAAACTTACCTTTCGTAGGTAGCTCCTACCACATTTGTTCGTAGTTATGTGTGCAATTGCTAACTGTGGAGAGGGGAGTCAGAAGAATAGGAAGACTGGTCCTATATGGGTTCACACTAATAACCTACATTTACAAGTATGCACTACCACACTTTCATATTCCTATTGTCCCACATGCATGTAAACTGATGCTTTCTGGTGTTAAAATGACCAATCACTCTTGGTATTTTGTTGGGGAAAGTGAATTACATGTAGAAGCTATAGCTTTAGGCAAATTCTGAGAAAGCTGAGGGAAACACAACTAAAGCTAGGCACACATGAATAAATGAAAATTATTTAACGAAATAAGTAGAAATGAAAAATATGTGACATTTAAGTCCCTTGCAAATTGAATGAAAACAAATAAATGTTTTAAAAGCATATGAACTTGCAATTTCGGTCTAGCTAGCTGCTATCTTCTGTTGAGAAATTGTCCATTTACTTAAGTAATAGGCTGATCGCCCATAAAATGTGCAACACCTACTTGATAAAATAACTTTCGTTAATTTAAAACTTATTTGTGAAAATACCTTGACATTTTCATATTCTTTGGCAACTATAGAATTGCTGCATGTGGTGTCACAACTTAATCAAAAGGAGTCCTGTTCCACTTTTTACGGTCATTTGGATCTTAATGTAACTAAAGGAGCGGTTTTTGATAATTCATCTAAACTGAGCTCTGTTTTCAAACCAAAAATATAAAAGATTGTTATAAGATTATGAAGTAGAATTCTTACTTTAAAAGGGTTGTGGTGGCCATATTAGAATTTTCAGATATGTCCCTATATAAAAAATTGCTTAGAATCCTGTTCTCTACAATTGTGCCAATTTTCATGCTTGTAGTTTTAACTGCATGGTGAATTCACCATACTGCTGCTGTGAGTGGCCTGTTTTTCTTATTTTTGGAGGCCATTTTGAATTTCTATACACCCAAAGATACAAATATTGATACTTCATTCAAACCATAGTTTTGTCTAACCAAAAAATGTTGTCTTAAGCTAGTATAGAATTATATACTTGAAGTTTTAATTTGCACGGGTATTTGTGGCGGCCATATTGGATTTGGGGGCCATATATTAGAATTTTTAGACATATCCATACATCCAGAAGTGCTTGGAATCCCGTTTTATACAACTGTGCCAAATGCCATGCTTGTAGTTTGATGAATTCACCACTCTGCTGGATATCTTGGATAAGTGAACTGCTTTTTACTATTGACGGCCATTTTGGATTTAATACTCCTGAAGAAGCAGATATTGATACCGAATTCATACTGTGGTGTTTTTTAACCTTTATATGATATTTAAGCCCTTAAAAGACTATATACTTGAAGTTTGAATTAGAAACCCTAATTTTGGAGGCCATATTGGATTTGGTGGCCGTTTTTGAATTTTTGGACATGCCAATACATCTAAATTTGCTCAGAATTTCATTGTCCACAACTGTGCCAAATTTTATGCTTGTAGTTTTAAGTGCATGATGAATTTACTATTCTAATGGATATCTTGAATAAGTGGAGTGTTTTTTTACTTTTGGCGGCCATTTTGGATTTTATACACCTGAAAGATTCATACCATGGCGTCTTCTAACCTTTATATGATATTTTAAGTCACTAAAAGACTATGTACTTGGAGTTTTAATTTGAAAAGGTATTTTGGCGGCCATCTTGGATTTGACGGTCATTTTGGAATTTTCAGACATGCCCATATATCCAAATTTGCTTAGAATTTCATTGTCCATAAGTGTGCCAAATTTCATGCTTGTAGGTAAAAAATGCACAATTTTTCACCAATTTCCTGGACTATGAAGCTTTTTGATACTTTGTTCATTCTAAAATAGTATCAGATATCTGGAGAAGCATTGTTCTCTGGCATATCCGTTCAAGTATAGCTGCAAATAGAGCATGTGTTTGAAGTTAAGTCGCCAACTGGGCTGTTAGTGCTTTTGAACAGAAAGCATAAATAGATTACCATGTGTTTGAAATTGATCCATTTTTATTTTAAAAAGCCTATTCTACTATATATGGTAAATTGGTAAATGGTTTTACAGTCCCTGATCAATATATAACGTTTAACAATAATTTAAAATATTAAAATATTGTATCAAAGTATTCTCTTTTTCTCATCTGTTTACATTTCGTAAAACTTTATCCAGGGTTCCCACCTATTTTCCGAGAGAAAATCAAGGACCGTGCGTACAACGTGGGCGAACCCGTAACTCTCAGATGTCACGCGCTCGCCAGCCCACCGCCAACCATCTCCTGGTACAGGAACGACCAAATGATCACCAGTTCAGACGACACCAGTGGCGCCAGCAACCGCGTGCGGGTCTCGCAATCAGAGGACGGCCACTTAACCTTGACCTTGCTGAACACGTTACCCAATGACTCGGGAGTGTACAAGTGCGTTGCCAGGAACAAACTTGGAACCGCCACGTGCAGGGCGAGGCTGATGGTCGGAGGTACGGTGAATGCTTTTGATGGCATTGAAATTCAAAGTTAAAACTTCTTATCTTTTTTAGGTTACTTAGTAAATCATCTTTGTATTGTACTTTAATTTTTAAAAAATCAAGTAGTTTTACATTGCTTTTTTTAAAATTAAAAATTTATTATAGATAATATTATTTAATATTATTTTTAGTTTCTTACTTTCTTAATGTTGTATTTCAAATAGAATTTCTTTCAGATAATGTAAGTTCTTGATTTGTTTTACATAAATTAATTTCAATTTGCTTTTCCGTAAAACTTGTTTATTAGGCTTTTTGTTACTCTTATACAATCAGTGCTTTCTTACCTTCTTTCCCTTTGTTGTTACTGTAACGCACATAAACTCATTTTACTGTGTTGATAATTCGTCGCTCATTCCTTATATTGTTAATACAACATCTCACTTATTCCATTGTACTAAGTCTTTACTTATTTCCAATATTGTTGCTGTAACTCGTGTATTAGTTCTACCTAGCTTTGTATTTCTAATGTGAACGTTTCATTATATCTCCTTGTTCATTTTTTCTCAATGTTTATATCTTATCCTACGGTGTACTTAACAGGCTATGTTTCAGGTGTTAGTCCGACTGCTCTCCTCAACCAGGCGCTGGTTAGTCATGGCGATGGCAGGAGTATTTAGAAACATGTTGCTAAGCGCTTTATTTACTGTCTTTGTTGTCTAGGTGACGGCACAGCAACAGTGTCAGAATCACAAAGCACAGAATCTCTACCCGATCTACCGATACTATCCACACTGCGTGGTAAATATTTTAGGGGTGTTTGCGTAATGGCTCTAGTATGACGCTTGTCCTTCGGGATTTATCCCTAAAAAATTAGGTAGCCTGATTTTGGTCATTTTGTGTGTGTAAAGGACATTACGCAGAAAGAGCAGGTCTGTCCCTCAATCTAAAGAGTTTGCGTTTAAGCAGCATCAGAACAACTTATTTGATGCAAACTGCTGCAAGCTAGAAGTGCTCCACGGGTGTCCATCTTTTTGGTAAGGACATACAGCATTCGAGATATTGTTATTAAAAAAACGCTGAGGAGTGATCTGCTTTGTTATTGCGCAAACAAGTTTGGTGATGACATTACACAAACACACCAACCTCGTTTTTTAGATCTGCCGTGTTATTAAAACACCCTTGAGTGGGCTGAACTCAAGAATGTGTTTCTGACCTTGTAAACACAAAGAGTGATGTAGCCATGTGTGCAACGTTTGTGCTTCTCAGATGCCTTATTTGCATTTGTTCTGTGTGTCATATTTTCTTTTAAGTTCTTTTTGACAGCACGTGCCCTCTCTGTTTTCTCCTTTTTACTTGCATTACCATGTAAAGTTATATCTTCTCAAAAAATAAAACTAAAAAATATTTTGATTTTAAGGTGTGAACTAAGAACGATGCATGTCACCTTGATAACATAAATGATATGGATTTAGTAAGATAAAAAGGAACCCAATATATTTCTATTTTGTGTTATTTTAATTTGTTGGGGCATGAACATGAACAGAAATACAAAAAAAAAAAAACGCTTTACTATGGCTATAACCGTCTGGCTGACAGTATCTTTTTCACCTCAACAGTAACCTTACAATTACTGAACCTGAGTTGATAAACTTGTGATGAAAAAATTATACATAAAAAGGCAATTTGTTGTCTTTCACCACATTTATTCGGTTTATTACTCCTTCGTTGTCCTGAGCTCCCCCCACCCCCCACCCCCAACTCGAACACACAGTTCCATTGCCCTGCACCTCTGCGTCACCTATCGAACCGCCGAAATATTTCATGCACTCCAACAGTTTGGTTTTTTAATTCACCAATCCAATTTCTGGCACCACCGACTATTAGACGATTTGCAATATTTCCTAGATTTATCAGCCCCCCATTGCACAATAGGAAAACCACCCTTATGTCCAAATATTCATATTTCAGTCTTAAAACGACAAGACAAGCAGACTGCAGTAGAAACAATGCCCAGTTTCCAACCGACAGGACATGTGGTTTGGTGTTTTCATCACTGCTTTTTCGAAGATATTTCCTTGCTGATTTTATTAACATTGCTCGGGCGTTGCTTTTGAGCTTCAGTGCGGCACTTCTTATTTATTACTTACTTAACACGTTAAACGAAGCTTTACACGCGTTTCTAACCTTTCAGATGTTCCAGATCGTCCAGGTCGTCCCGCGGTGTCCCAGGTGTCTGGGACGGAGGTGTTCCTCATTTGGGACGCTCCCAAATTTGACGGGAATACGCATATCATCGCTTATAAAGTTGACTACAGACCTGAAGGTGGGTGATCTTCTTTTTGGTTTTTTTTTTTTTCTGGGGGGGGGGGGGGGGGGAACGGGAGAGAAAGCGCACGTGCCCCCGTTTGCATATAACTGCTCTGAATATTGTTAATATTTAGAAATTTTTTAATATATATCTGTACATGCAATTAAAACGTCACTCAACAATCTTAATTTATTTCTTAATTAAAAAGATAGTCAAAAACGAGACAGAAGTGTTTGACTTTGTTCAGGATACTAGCCGTATAAATGAGGTAATTAAATTAAGATCATTCGAATCAACAATGCCCTTAAAGACAGAACACGTCACCAATGTCAAGCCAAAAGGAGTTTGCTCTGAAACAGTTATAGGGTTATTTTAATCCACCAATATACCACGAATAATTTATAACTCATATTTCGTCAACGCAACGTCTTTAATCTCACAGGAGAGGAGCGCTGGACGACGGCGTCGTACACCATTGACGAGTGCGCCCTGGTCACAGATTTGAGCCCGGAAACAGAATACCGCTTCCGGGTATCTTGTCTGAACAGATTTGGGGTCAGCCCGTACAGCTGGTCATCGCAGGAAGTGACCACGAAGTCGGCAGGTAAACGCCACTGTGTTTATTCTTTCCCAGAGACTAATGTGTAAATGTGTAGATGGTTCCTGTTTCACCATAGACCTTAAAACTGAACGTTGATCTAAAATGTTAGTAATGATTTTTAGTCTACTTTTAAGCAAGCCAAATCAGAAGTAATCCAACGAAATGCAAACGCGTATGTTTTCGTTGAAATGTATTATAGTTAGGTTGTAGCATTTTTGCGAAAGGTGCGCCAATAAAATTTTACTAATTTTTTAACTAAAAAGCTGAAATACGAAAAATTAATTATTTTTCATTCATTACAAAAGCCTTCTAGCACGTCATAGACATTGCTACATTTAAGAATAGGCATTTTTATTGCTGTTCAAAACAAACCACACTCACCTGCCTTTTCTTAAACCCGAACAAAGTTGAATGATTATTGAACATCTCTAATATACCACATTGTATATCAAGGTGAAGCGCCTCTGAGTAGAGAGAAAATGCGTCAGTGCAAGAAGATTGACATTCAGGCTGATGCTGACCTGTCCCCTGAGCTGCGTGACTTCGAGTCTGCCCGGGAGAGAGGAGAGGTGCCCCTGATTGAACGGAACCCAGCTGAGGACTACGAGTTTGCTGGGGAATTATGGAGGTTTGTGACTAATGTTAAGGCCTGTAAAGTTAAAGAAGACAGTGAAAATGTTATTGACAAGGAATTAAATGAATTGGTTGTTTTTAAAACAAATCGCATTTATTCTGAGTGATACAGACGCATAATAGGGCTTGAGAATCAATACCCTGTGAAACATTGCTTAAGGTTTTTTAATTTATGAAAAGCGAATTGATATCTTTTTTTTTTAATTTTGTAGAGGCAATTTCTCCGTGGTTCGAAGCTGCGGCAGGAAAGACATGCCGGCGACTCTTGCCGCCAAAATAATTGCTTACACACCAAGCAACCGCAGCCAGGTTCTCCACGAGTTCGAAATTCTGAAGACGCTGAATCAGGAGCGAATTGTGAGACTCCACGAAGCCTTCACCACGCCCGACCATCTCATCCTAATCATGGACAGGCTGTACGGAGAAAATATCCTGCAGTTCCTGAGCTACAAGAATAAGTATACAGAGGAGACCGTGGCTAAAGTCATGAGACAGGCAAGTAGTTAAGATGATTAAAATGCGTTTTAAAGACTTTTTAAGAGTCTTCTTAAAAGGGCAGTTAGAAGCACAGGCAAAATGCTGTTATGGTCTAGACCTACTAACTTTTTTCGTCAAGTTTTTTTAGATTAACTTCATTCACTGATATGCTTTAAGATTTTTTATACATTTTCTATGTTTTGAGGAATCATTTTGCATTTCTGATGGAATTTTTGGGTGTATCAGCTGATGATCAATTTCTATATAATAACATCATTGAACTTCGGTATATTTAAGGTTATCGATGCTGTGCAATACCTCCACCATCAAGGCGTCGTGCATTTGAACATACAGCCAGACAACGTGATGATGGCGAGCAGACGTCGACTTGACGTCAGGCTCGGTGATTTTGGGTGCGCGCGCATCATAACTGACCCCATGGGAGAAAAGATGACACAAGTTGGAGCGCCAGAGTTCATGAGTAAGATGGTTGTGGAAAGTTTAATATATATATATATATATATATATATATATATATACTGCATTTACTGAACTCCGGTATTTGTAAAACGCGCGGAATAAATGTTTGGTCGCTGCTACTAAATATGTGCTGAATTCCATCGTTCTCAAAATTCATTGTCGTTCATGGGACTGTTATTCGGTTACTGGTGTTAAGTATTTTAATAAAGAACATGCAAAATATTTTAATTTGACTCTCTAGATACCAAATACTAAGTGTGTGTGTGTGTCTGATAACTTTTAGGTCCAGAAATGGCATGTGGAGAAAAGGTCGGATTCCCGTCTGACGTCTGGCAAGTTGGCGTATTGGCGTTTATTCTGTAAGTATTCATTTTATGTTCATAAGAATATTAACCAAATATGTAGAAACGAAGTGCAGTTATTTTTGTTGGACTTATATTGTCGAGGTGATTAAAGAAATACCCTAAATTTCAGGTTTTATTTGTAGCATTATAACATTTATAATATTTATAACCAGATGGTGTTCAGTACACTGCTCTGAATATCAGGGTGTAAAAAAACTAAAATTGATTGTGCCTAACTTACATGAAATGTTTCTAGATTTCTGTGATCATTTTATTATCCAGCCTAAGTGGAGAGTCTCCATTCCTCGGAGAAAACGACGAAAAAACGCTAGAGAATACGAGGTCTGTACGTTACGATTCTCACAGCCTCTACGAGAATATCACTAAGGATGCCTTCAAGTATATACAAGAGACTTTAAAGCGAGAGCCAAGGTAAATCATTTGATGGTTTACAATATATATAATGGAAGAAATTGGTGTCAGAGGTTTAAAAAGTCTGTAGTTACTAGTCAACAGCTTTTCACAATTATGCTCCATTGCCCCTCTTTTCTTCTCAGTTGCAGTTACCTGGTTAGTGGCATTCATTAATTTCATTACCAGTGTTGAGACGATAGTCCAATTTTGTTCTTACGTGTATGGGGGGGGGGGGTACCCAGTGTATAAGCACATAAATTGTAATGATGTTTTCATTTAAGTATAATGACAAACATTAGGGCCATTTCCATTGGAGATGGGTAGAACTAACTTAGGCCTAGATTACATTTACCACGTATACGATTTTCCGTGCTATTTTATATTTTTTATTCTATTATTATCTACTATATTTATCATTATTCTTATTATTATTGACACTGCAAGTGGCTAAAGCGAGTATGTCGAACGGAAAATGTTGGAAAATAATCGTTCGACGGTGTTTTATAATTTAATTTTTAGTTTACTTATATGACACACGTGCAAACTGAGGATTAAGTAAATGCATTCAGGTATTGCCAAAAATGAACTCCCTGCACACCACTAATACGCCAATTATCAAATTAAACAAAAGTTTAGTTCATTTCGTCAGAGCTACGATTATTCTATAACTTTTGGCTTTTCCCTTCTCAGTCACCGCCTGACAGCAGACGAGCTGCACGAGCATCCGTGGCTACAACTGACCGAAGCCATGGTCAAGAAGCGAGAAGCTGCACGTTTCGTCACCAACAAACTTCGACAGTTCGCAGATGAATATGGAAAGAGACGCCAGGCTGACGCCACCAAGTCTGAGAAACTTATCAACGCTTTCGGCCCGCCGGCTGGTGCTGCTGCGGTGGACTCAGACTCCGATGGGGAATTCACCCCAAAGTCCCCCATAGCTGTCAGGAAGACGAGTGATCAGACACAAAGACAGAGACACACCGAGAAACAGCTAGTGCTCCCCGAACCCAAGGGTGACAGCGACAGTGGAATAACCACTCAAGATTCCGATACAAGTTCTGTCGACGGACGTCCCATACCAAAAATGACTAAAAGACACAGATAAAAAGGTAAAGGTGGAGATCTTCCTATTTGTACTTAACCATATCATTTGGCTCCTACTGATAAACAGTTAATTTAGGTTGTCGTTGTCTATGATTCAGTTCTACATGTACCTCACCTTAACGACATAAAGATGTTTTTCACGTGTTTCGTCCATATTTTCCTTGCCGCACGAATCGGTATGTTTTATGATTCTTTCCTCGTAAAAATAGCATAGTTTCTACGCTTTGTGAAAATGTCTAAGGATTTAATTCTTTTTTCAGGAGGAAGTGCTGTTCAAGAACTGTAAATAGCTGACCGCTTTCAAATAGGACTGCACCCGAAAACCAAACTCAGCTCTAGATCACGTGGTCTCAACAATATTACATCACGAATTTAATATATTAGAGCTGGGAAAGTTAAACTAAATCTATCCAGGACTTAAATTATAACTGGATCTGCCTGGGTTTGTCTTACATGAAGCATTTGAACTATTGCAATTGTTTTTGGAGTGGTTTGATGATTTTTGAATGATCTTGTATTGGCTACATACGTTTGAAGTGCAATAAATTTTGACGAGGCATTCATTAGACGTGCAATAAGTGTTGTAAAACTTATCTCTCTTTTTTTTTTAATATAGAAACGTCTAGCTTCTAAATTAAATTTTTGTGTCTGTACTCTTTTGAATTGTGCTTTGATTGATTTTTTTTAATTTTGTGATATTCAACTTTTCTGTTCGTATTACATGTAGTAACTTGTAGATGAAAATTAGGGATCATATTACGTATATTAGTTACTTTTTTGATAAATGATAAATCAGCATAGCGTGTAGATTTTTTGGATGCACTCTCATATCATAAACAAAAATTAATTGACATGCATGTTACTTTGGCGTCCTTTTGCAGAGAGACCATGTATTAAGCCACCAGCTATTTAGTTAACCTGTTCGATAACTATATAGCTTGTGTGCCAAGAAGTCCAGCCTGTAGAATAATAAAGCTTCCAGTCCCTTTTTTCGTCTGTGTTATTTAATTTGAAAATATACAAGCTGGCAAATTGTCCATGGGCATGGTAACAAACATGTTGTTTCCAAACAGGTATTGTTCAATTACAGTTTATCGTTGTCACGTTTTTGGCACAATCCACCATTTATTGCGATACTCAGTGCCAACTGATACGCCTACAGCTTGGACATAATAACTATGTCCAAGGTCCACATTATTCCAGACAACCTTTTTTTGTGATAGTCAGAACGTCAATACGCTACGTGTATCAACATATCATAGAAACAAATAATAGCTGAATTTTTTAATCAAGTTTTTACGTACAAATTTCATAGTCATAAGTTCTAAAACTAAAGCCGCCTTCGCGACGTGAAAAAGGATTCTTATTTGTCTGCTCTTGAACGCGATAGAAAAACAGTCTACCTGTCTTTAAAGGGATAATAACTCTTGAGATCTATATTTCACAATAAAAACATTGTAAACAACTCGTATAAATATATTTTATCCTGTTTTACTACAAAAACGGCAGTTATAGCTACTGTTCTGACATCTGAGCTTGTCATCGGACCACGTGACCTCCATAGATAGCTATACTCTGTAATTAAATAATGTCTTAAGAGATTATAAAATAAAAACTTTTAAGAAAAAAAAACAGGGACTAACTTTGAATGTCGAAATGTATTCATTAAGTATGGGAAAATTGTTGTTTACTCCAGGAAAATTCATTTTTTGGCCAAAACGAACAGTTATTATCCCTTTTTCCATGAACGAAAACGAGATGACAGTTAAAGAGATCCATCTGCAAGTATATTTTGACCATGTCCGTATTGAAACTGGAGAATAGGTGAAATATCACTTTTTCAAACTGAACAGGGTAAATTTATCAGTACCAACAACATAGTTGATGCCTTTTTATGTCTGAAATTGTTTTGCCTAAGATTTCCATTTCACACGTTTCGCCTCATTTTTTGCAACAATTAAAACTACATTTCTTACCTTTGCTTGTTCTTGAAGCTCTTGGTGCGTAAAACATCTTTCACTTGATCTGAATTTTTCTAAGAGGTACTCTTCCTCGTAACCAGTCACGTAACATAGCAAAACAAACATATGACCTCACATCCTCTATGAGATCATGCTGTCGATTACGCCAGAGCGTCACGTCCCTACGTTCTCGTTCAACAAACTATACACATGTACAAACAACAGCTATATGTTCCACTTGATGTTGCAAACTGAGAGATATGGATCTCATGTCTAAAATGGACGCTGCGATAGCGTCATAAGCGAAAAGTTTCTTTTTGCATGATGTCAAAGAGTATGCAAAAATTCTACAATTTGCCAAAACAAGGTGACCATTCACTCACCTCAGTAACATCATGGAAAACGCATATGACCTGTGACCTCACACCCTTTATGTGATCATAACGTCGCTTTCGTCAGAACGTCACTACGCTACAGCAATCGTAGAATCAAGCAAAATCGAATATTTGGCTTGCGTTTTGACCTACCAAATTGCTCGTTCTCGAGGGTTTATTTTTGAACGCTGCTTTCAATTTTACATCTTTCTTTTTGTGAATATTCATGAACGAAGGCAAATGACAGTTGAAAAGATCCATATATCATGATATTTTGACCATATCCATATGCTACGACTAATAGTCTACCGTATAGGATCATTAGAAACGGTATTATCATTTTTATAACGATGAACTTGATGAACACAGCTAATCTACCTCAGATCCAACCACAAAATAGATACTTTACAATATCCCCTACAAATTATATTTTGGCGAGAATTCCAATAAAATGCTTACCTTTCTTACCTTTGGTGACTTATGGCAAGTATAGAGCTTGTTCTTTGAGGCACTTGTTGTATATAACATCTTCCACTTGATATGTAATCCTTTAAGTTTCCCTCTTCCTCGTAACCAGCCTTGTAACATAACATAACGAACACATGACCTCACATTCTTTATGCGATCATCACGTCGATTACGTCAGAGCGTAACTTCCCTACATTCACGTTCAACAAACCACACACAAGCAACAGTCAGATGCTCCACTTGAAGTTGCAAACTGAACTGAAGGGTATGGATCTTATGTCTAAAATGGATGTGGCCATAGCATCATAATCAAACAATTTCCTTTAACATAATGTCAGAAGTGTTGTTTTCTACAATGTGCTTCTCTGTAGATTTGAGGGAACTGAAACAAGGAAAACGCGTATGACCTCAGATCCTTTATGTGATCATAACGTCACTTTTGTCAGGACGTCACTACGCTACACAGTCATATGNTTTTTTTTTTTTTTTTTTTTTTTTTTTTTTTTTTTTGTTAAGAGCATGTATGGATCTACTAAGATCGCATTCACAACGAGTTGAGCCAGGCTTTACAAATCTTGGATCTAGATATGGCAGACGTACATGAAAGAAAAACCGCCTAATCTGTCAATAGTCTCTCCAGCTCCCACACGCCTCCCCACGCATCGTCCCTGCGGGGGTACAGTTATTACATCTCGGCTCCATTCGCCATGCGGAAGCTTGCTGAGAAATATAAAGTGTGCATGCTCATCAATTAAACTCAAGATGAAGAAAGCATGGCGACTAGAGGTGATCGAAGGAAAAAAGCTATTATCTTTTAAAACAGAGACGAAAAAGGAATGAATTGGCCCGTAGAGCAACAATGAATTGGCTATCTACGGAGATAATGTCACCAGAGATATTCACGGAGATACCCTACTCAATTACTGCACGTGAAATTTTATTTTGGTGTAGGCCTACCAACGCAAATGGATGGCTTTTCACATCCATCTTATGCTGTTGTGAAAAATTATTGTCGGTTAATTATTGGAAGGGAATGAATTTGCACACTTAATATTTCTCAGGTAGCCTCCGCATGGCGAACGGAGCCAAGATTTAATGACTGTGTCCCCACAGGGACGACATGTGGGGAGGCGTGTGAGAGGCGGAGAGACTATTAAAAGATTAGGCGGTTTTTCTTTCATGTACGTCCGCCTTATTTAGTTCCAGGATTGGTAAAGCCTGGCTCAACTCATTGTGAATGCGATCTAAGACATCTTTACTATTTGTCTGTAGAAACAAGAAAGTGGGAAACAGTCTCTGTCAAAGGTTGTCAGCCAGAGCCTAGGTCATTTCACACAGTCACTGCAGTTGGTGCAAGAGTTGTTGTTATTGGAGGTAGAAGTCAAAGTAATCAGCATTATGATGATCTCAACATATTTGATACAGGTAAACTTGAAAAGGATGAGTATTATTTAGGTTCTTATCATTCACTGAGTTCTGGTAGTAGACCTAAATTAATCATACCTTTCAGCATTTGTATGTAGATTTTTTTTTCTTTTTGACATTTGCATTTAGATTTTGTATCCAGTAACCTTTTAATGTTTTAGATTATTATTATTATTTCAAATTATTTTGTATAGCTACCACTAAGTCCAGATTATTTTGTATAGCTACTATGGAATGGATGCAGCCTACAGTCCAGGGAGAACTGCCCTCTGGGCGAGGTGTTCACACATCTGTGGTTGTAGATGACCAACTGGTACTGTTTGGGGGGTCCTCCGACTTTAATCCTGAAACTATGCAGTGCCAGAAATACCATAATGAAGTTTACACAACAAGGACAGGTAATAATTAAGATTGGGGGGGAGGGGGGGGGGGAATTAACAAATTTTATTTTTTCCCTCTAAGACAGACCATTTGATCAATAATGTAAAGATTAAGGTTTTTTACATTTGGCTACTGGTATATAACAGATTCGATATTAATAATCATATTAAACATGTCTTAGTTTGCTATAAAGTTATCACAAAACTATGCACATTCATGCAAAGTCTGTTAATACGGTCTTTCTATTCCAGTTGATATTCTTCAGGGAGGCAGTATAGCCAACACCGAAGCCAATCAAGAAAATTTCCCTATTTCCACAAATATACCAGTTCAAGAAAACACAGACATACAAAAATTTGTGTCTGGAATTGTGCCATCTCCTCAGAATGAGGTCAACTAGTAAAATTACGTGTATGTGGACAACATAGTTGAAAACAATGTGTGCTGTTCTAGTGTTCAAATACACATATTTTTGATTGTTTTAAATACATAAACAAGTGAAATTTCTTTTTAAAAATATTTGACTTCTCATTTAGTGGAATTTATAGTGAATTTCAAAAAATGTATAAAATTCATTAAAATTTTTTCTGACATTTGTATAAACACACATGAAGTACAGTGCATGCCTTATTTACTTTTCTGCTAATCTATTATCTGTGTATTGAGGAAGTCGAAAATCTAATGCTAATTTAATCTTTATCTGCTTTTATCCATTTTTTTTTTTTTTTTTTTTTTTACTAGCAGGCTTGCATTTATAAATTTTAAAACTGCATTTGACAGTTAAACTCACTTTCAGTAAAATGCAAATTCAAAGCTTGTTTCATGAAAAAATGTGATAAATAAACCAATTATCAGTACTGCCAATGTAGTTGTTTTAGTAATTTAATATTAAAATTGTCAAGAAGAACTTAAAAAAGGCTTCGCCATTTATAAAATAGGTAAGATTTTCTTGTCCAATCCCTTGTAATGTCCTTTCCACCCCTTCAATGTTTCTGCTTAATATCAACCCAAAAACCTATCTTCCAAACTCGTGTTCTGCATGCGGAATCTCGACTCCACCCGGGATTCCTACTCGTCCTACTAGCAACCTGAAAGATTCAACTTTTACTTATCCCATATTCTCAACTACCGTAAAACTTTTCCATATATTTAAATCGTGCTTAACTTTTCTTTCAGATCAGTGTTTGAATTTTGTTTGTTTCGGGTAAAATTAGTCGCCCCTCGATTTTTAAAGCCCCCGTGCGTCACCCAATATCCAAATGTTTATAGCCAAGTTAATCACAAATTACTTTTTACATTTTTCCTGCTTTTTCATGTGCAAAAGGCACTTAATGTAGCCATATTTATATTTTTCAACACTGCTTTTTTCAAAATATGGAGAGTTTCAGAGCTTTTGTCGGAATAACAAAAAATGGCCTAATGAAATTCGTATGGCCTAATGAAGTTCACAATTTTCACCTTTCAGAATTGCGTTTATCCGATGCGGCGAGATGAAACCGCCCTGGTTTCGCTTTTCTTTTAATAGAGGACAAGTTTAACTAAGTTTAAACTATGGTTAGTTGTAATATTTATTGTTCTGATAACCAGCTGGATACAGTATTAGTAAGAAAACGTGTTTTATTACAAAAATTGCTCTGAAAACGATGGTTTAAAAAAAAACTTATTTATATCAGTAAAAAGCTACCTGTAGCTCTGTTTGAAGGTTCCACTTTGAAGGTTCCACTGCGGATGGGATTATAACCCCAGCATTATTATAATATTTTAAAATTTAGCTTATCATTTATAAAATGGAGCCGTAATTCCCCCCCAGTTCAAATGTTTGCGCAATGGGAGACCGGTTCGAATGCGACTTTAAGACGGCTGTTTTCGATACACGCAAACCCAGACAGTCATATGGCAACTGGCTGCGCGTAGGAAGATATTCAGAACGGAGCGCGTGCGCTGAGATGACGTCGCGGTTGAAATTTTGTAAATTTCTCAACCAGCGCGGAAATTAAAGAATTGTACTTTATTACCTCTGAAGGTGCTTATGAAAAATTAAGGCATGGTAGCAGAGTTTATTACGCGTCTGTAAGTGTGAGATTTACCCAGAATCAAAGTGAAATGAAGGAAATATAACTCGACAAAGTCGGCCAACATGCCGATTATTATCCATAGCAACACCGTAACATTTTGAGATATCTCCTATCACAGAGAGTGTGCACCTTATTCCAGTCGATAGAAGATGACTTTTAATACGCAAAATAAACCTACCAAGTGTCATCAGAATTTATTCTGGCAACTTTTTTTGCCAGCTGTTGAAGTGCGTTTTTGACCCTATTCCGCTAGATGTCAGCCATATTCTGACGTCATTTTTTTCAATACAGAAGCAAGTGAAGGTCTGCTGACTTTTTCAAATATCGAAAATGAAAGTACTTATCTTTTATTTCAGTAACAAAACTATATTTCCAATAATTATAATAAAAAACCAATGTGTTAAAATAACTTTTACCTTCTCGGATGTCTTAATTCAAAATGACGATTTTTATCATTATCGCACCTGCAGTTCTGCGCTGTCGATGAGAGTTCTTCACGAAATTTGTCGTCATACAGCAGTCTGCAACATTTTGAATGAAAAATCGACTTAGCATCAGAGTATCCAGTTTGTTCACCATTACGCACTAGGTCTCAAACTCTGTTGTTTATTTCCATTATCAAATTTTAACAAACAAAACGACTTCAGAATTTAGCACTGCACGCGTCTTTGACACATTTCCACTTGGTGTAGGGGAGTTCAGTTTGTAGCAGACACTTGGCATGACTTTTAATGGGAAAGGATCACTTAAAGTTGCATGAAAAGTAAACGATGTAAATCTTGATATTTTTTGCAAATACTCAATAGATTTAAAATCGTATTTGAAATTATTTATACAAAAATCTCAGTACATGTTACTGAGATGTCCCCCTCAATTCTTTCTTCTACAAAAATGGACTGAGCCGCACACATTTGGAATGTGGCAATGGTATCTTTGATACAATTTGGATACTTTTTGGAGATTTGCACATGGGTCAACCAAGTACGCTTTCCATGGGGAACTTTGTTTACAAATTTTTCACTGCATGGAATGAACAGTACACGTTCTGGCCATGACACTTTATTTGTATCAGGACACATATATAACTCAAACATATTTCCATTAGTAAAAGTGTGTCGTGAGACTCGTGATAGTAGAATCCACTTATATTATTTTTCTAACAATTCCATATTTTTAAGCTTGTATATTTTTTAATTTACTACATGAATTTGGTGCTGGTCAAAGGAGACACTATAAAGGGCAAAGATACACTTACAATCTTAAATTGGCGAGTTACACTCATGATAAAAACTATCAAACATTGAATGTAAAGTTCAATTTCAGTTAAACAAAACTCAGAAATGCATAAATCTAAAGTCCTTTTTAATATAGTCTATCGCTTTCAGGCTTCTGTTTGTATGTGTAACAAAAAAGTATCACTAATTTAATTGTGATTTGATCATTTTTGAGAAGCTTGCGGTACAGATAAAATAAGAAAACTGTTTTCTCTCATCCAATCTGCCATGAACAGGTTAAGTATGCCAGAAAACATATTGGCACATACAGGCAGAAAAGCTCTTCATCTGTGAATTCTGAAATAATGAGAAATAAAGAAGCTGACAATAACTGTAATGAAAAAAATAACAATAAATAAAGAGCTAACAGAGCAATTTTAGAATACGCTAAGGTACGTAGAGTGGTACGTATTACATATCATACCGGTACATGGTAAACCCATGGCATTCAATGAAAGTTAAACTAAACAACATGAATTGCGTTTTACTTTAGAAGGCCTGCTTTACAAACGTAATCACTAACCAGAATTACCTTTGTTAAATGTTTGTCATCCTTTTCAGTTCTAGAGTTCAGCTACAACCCTCAACAGATCCACATTTATCCGCCTCTCTCACTTCTTTACACGTGTTCACTCCGCAAACTCTTAATACATATATGTAGGTCAACATTTAATCTCCTGCATAAATGATATTAGATTACGTAAATTCAAACCCTTTTCCAAAGGTAAGGCCCTTCAAAAATGATAAATTCTCATTAATAAAATCACACAAAAGTGGTCCAATATTTCAAATGCATATCCACAAGCACATGTTTGCCTTTTGCGTATCACGCATCAAGAATAGGTGAAGGTCGTTCATAAAAATACTGAAACTAGTTCAAACTGGATGTGTGCGATTCAGCATCGATTTCAGGTTAGTTTCAATTAAATGTGAATAAAATATGCAACCTTTAACGGTTTTTAGATAGAAAAATTTCATAGTTTGGCAGAGGTATTGAGAAGCGCCATTTTTTTCAAGATTTTTAGTTGAATGTTGGATTAGGGAACCGTGTGACCATACTAGAGAGTGTGCAAACTATTCCCTTCACNTTTAATGCTTGTATTTCTACAATCTTTGTAAAAGAAAAGTCATGCAGCAGTCTGTTTACTAAATATATTTATACATATATATGTGTCAGTGCAATCTTAATGTGCAATCTAAATGTGCAATATGCATTTGTGATAAAAGTTTCTTGCCATATGATAAATTATCCATTTCAATTGAATGGTACAACAGAATCACAAAGATTTGTCAATGCACAACAAACCTTAACAATTTTGTCAATAACAAGTGTGATAACCCTTTACTGGTGTAAAAAAATCGTGAGGCAATTTTGCTGATAATATTGAATACTTCTGACGAACAACTCCTATCACTCTCTCAACATGAATTCTACTAGCTGTTGGCTATCCTCCTCGTTTGTTCAACATCTAAAGCTCCGAGCTGCGATTTACCCCTGGTAAATGCTGGGATGTATAACCGTGCACACGTGCTACCTACACTATCCTGTATGTCAAAACCTCTATCTGCTAAAAATTACATCCCCTGGCAAAAGCTTATTCAGCAAACCACAAGTTTCTGTAATTATTTTGTCACTCGCTCTGCCGCCATGCCCATCTGAAATGAAACATATCACTCCCTGAGGTGTAATACCTATCAAATATTTTGCTGTGTTATTGTGTTTATAAGATGACCAAGTTTCATTTCTTGCTTTGAGGTTAGACTGAGCCTTGGACCGGAAGTGATAAAAATGTGGGTGGACTTCCGCGTGTACCGCTCGGAGCAGCACAGGATTCAAACGACTGCACATGCGCGAAAAGTGCGCTGTTTGAAATAAACAAAATGGTGAAATTGACAAAGCCTGCCCAGTGTTTACCGTCTGGTTGATTTGATTAAATTTGCTTTCTGGTGATGTTTTGAGAAATTATATTAGATATACATATAGACCTATGTTTTAAAAAGCAAATCCATAGGACTTTCCTTTAATTAACATTCATTTGGCGGTCATTGTAAGGAGGGGTTCCCTTGTGTTATATGTGGCCCCAAAGGGATTTTCTACCCCTCCCCCACTCTTGATTAATAAAATTCTTCATCGGGCAGATTGAAATTTATACTGCAAAATACATTAAAAATCGTAGGAATGTTAATTGCAGATAATGCTGTAAGGATATTCTTATCGGGGGCGAACCAAGGAGATAACTCCTTGGGCGAACACAGCCAATATAAAATTTTTAACTTCGTCTTACGATTTTGGAGCGCCTGTTCTAATTTTGGAAAGTGAGGCAATGGAACCAAACAATAGGATACAATTTGTAATCTCAATATTTTTAAATAGAGTTTATAGCCAGGCGTAAATCAAAAGGCGACTCTTTTATTATTGTGATATGTAATAATAATTAATATAAAAGATACGATATAATAAGTTCTTAAAGACGGCCTATTTATTAGCTTTATAGATTTTTAAAAGTATTTGGAGATTAAAAACACAAAAGCTGACAAGTTTCAAATCGAGGCCCCACATATTGTTCGTGTGCTGCTCTGAGCGTGAACAATCCGTTCTGCTCATGCGCACAAAGCGCAGGCACATCTGAGACTTCGGACGTGTAGGCCTACTGTCCGTCTCTATCAAGTCATCAATATCTCCCCCTATCTAAAGAATCTATGGATACCTCAATGTCTAAATATGGTTGAGCACTATGATCCGTCCACAGAAGGGGTTGACCTTGCAGGTTGTCTCATTTTTATCCTTGGACGAAGTAGGAAATCAAAATTTCTAAATGTCCATGTTATGTACAGCTAGAAAATTGGTGGTAATTATACCTTAAATCATTATGCAACTAGAAAAGCAATCAGAGAGCGCAGACCTCCGTCAAGGCAGCAAAGTCTCCATCCAATGCCGTTTCACCCCTAAATTTTCGATATTTTTTATTATTGATTGATTATTGATCTGTATCACCACCAAAAATAATCATCTGTTCCTTGGTCCACTTCTAATAGTTCCTGAAAATTTCATCAAAATCGGTCCATAACTTTTTGAGTTATGTTGATGACAGACAGACAAACAAACAAACAAACAGGGGTGAAAACATAACCTCCTTGGCGGAGGTAATAGTGTATCAAAATTGACAAAAAAAAAGCCTTCGTTGTGCACTGCCACCACAAACGTTATGAAAAGAAAACTGTTACTTACTTTTTTAAACCTAAAAAGAATGATTCCTAGGATTGACATGCAACTCAAATAAGAAAACCAGCCATTTGGATAATGATTATAATGATTATAATAATAATAATAATAAAAATCTTAATTGAGCACTAAAATGTGTACACATTACATTTTACAGGCTCTCTACACTAGTCATAACAACTTAAGAACAATTATACAAATCTATACAAATACATGTACTTATGGAATGATTACTGGGAAACAGCACAGAATAAACGACTATTGCTATTGATGGGTGTGTTGTTTTTTTCTAACTTTCAGTTATATATATAGATGTAATATTCTCAAGCACGGTTCACTTTTTGGACTGAGCAGCCCCTGAATTTTTTCATGATCCCTTTTCTGCTCAGGAGGTATCATTAGTCTACTTCTTCTGTTACTATGTTCTTCACATTTCATTTTTATTGAATTAATGCAATTTTTGTGAAATTCTCATTTTCTCATTTCCAAAGTGTGAACTTGAACTCGCGTGGGTCTGAAGCCTTTACTCTAGGTTCTAGATTTCGGTATTGCCAGCTCAATCTTGATTTCATATACAACATTGGTCAAAAAGGTTGTCCCACCCCCATTTCCATGTACTTTTATTTACAAATGATCACCTCACAGCTGTGAACTGTTAGAAAAAGTGCTTTTATTACGGATACAGTGTCTCATATGATTATGGTTAAAAAAAATTCAAAATAGTGGTGAAAATATACACATTTTATACCATTTATGGCGTCTTTTCAATTTTATAGACATTTCTTTACATCTGTAGAAGTCACATTAAACAGTCGATTTGAGGGGGTACCTCTTATAAATTTTACTAAATGAACTCAATGATTTCGTCTTTCTGGAGAATGTAAATGTTTGAAAATATTTCGCGTTTCCTGCGATACATAATCACAGTAACCTACTGCACTTGAAAAAATCGGTTTTGCCAACTTTTACACCGACTTCACGAGATTATGAACACTTTGCCAACCAGATGGGAGCCGAACGCAACATATATTTCATAACAACACAATAGCCCGGGAGCCACCGGTCTGCCGCTAGGTGGCTTTTAACCAAACCGGAAGTTCTAGAATTTGAATTGCGTGCATTTTTGTGAAATTTATAGGGTGTCAGAAACGGTAGAATATCTCGAGTACTAAGGGTATGAGAGTCTTATTATGTATACTGTCATCTTTAGAAATAAATTTCAAATGATGTGAGATGTTCCTCGAGTTGATCTAAACCATATTTTGTGTTCAAAAGTGAATTTGAAATCGAAGTTTTACCAAAGCTGTAACTGGAGTTCAACTTTACCTCTAATGCTTGCATTCTTAGAGAACAGGTTCCAACTTCGAATTATCAGTAAGTTGTGGCAAATTTATTCAGCTTTCTGCCAACGTAAGCATGTAAGGAACTTTACCGTTATCCAGGAATGGCACAAATCAATTCACACCCGGGTATGTAAAAAAATCGTACTTGCAACAACCGTAAGCCAGCCTCGTTTTGACTTAGTACATTCTTGTTATATTCTAACCTCGTTTTGAATTACCCACCCGCACAATATTTTCTATATAGAGAAGAGAAGCTTGCACAGGAAGAATGGAGGAAATGAACATTTCATTTTTTTTTTTTGTAAATAAGCATTTATCTATTACATGAGGCCACCCGCTGCCAGTTTCTTTTTATTGAAAGACTAATAAAAACATAACAAACAAGACTTTTTTTATCAATTGAATTTGCTTTTTTTTTTTACATATGAACAACTATATAACATTTAAAACATAATATCATCAACAAAAATATCAATATTGTGACAGCCAACAGGGATTAAAGCTGATGCAAATATACATGTATATTTGTGGCAAAAATTATTTTTTACTTTAGCAACACATTGATATGGCAATTTTTTTACACTTCTTGATCATAACATACAGTTATAGCCACAGGACACACTACTCCTTTTAAAAATAGGATCAATATAAACAATTTTTATAATTTTATAAATTTACCTGGGATCAGCAATTTATTTCACTGATACCAGTTAGTCCTGTACCAGTCTATATTTTTATTTGAATTTATTTTTGTAAGTGTCATAGTGGTGATTTCACAGCCAAACTTCATTTAAAAACTTCCACATTAAATGATATTACATGAATCTGTTAATGTATTTTATTCATTAGAAAGAACTGTAACCAAGTTTTAAAAGAATGTTTGCAGTTTTAAAAGGATTAAATAACTTTATTTATGGCTTCATGATAGGTGCTTGAGCTTCTGTCATAATTGCCAAGGAATGGCAAAATGATTAATCCTGGTCCCTTTCATGTTCTTCAAGCCTAGAAAAATATTACATTAAAACATTAAAAAGATTTAAAAAGTAACATTCAAAAACACTTTTCTAACTGCATAGATCATTACACACACACACACACACAACAACAACAACAACAACAACAACACACTAAAATCAGTATAAGTAATAAACCACAATCTTGATAATAGGGAAGCTGGTATCAATCGAATTATCTAAAATAGTAATCTAAATGTGTATCAATATTGATCAATGAGCTCATCATCAAGAGCTGAGCAGTGGCAAACATGCAAAACTTCAAATCAATTAAATTCCCATTTAAATGAAGCTCTGAAGTCTACAAACTACAGTGTTCACAACTATAATACACTAATTATTGTACTGGTATACAATATTTATAAATTAAAACAAAGGAGGAATTTTGTTAATATAATGTTCTTTTTTTCATGAAACATTTTCCCTCACATACTTATAACCCATGTGTTTGTGGGAGATTTTAAACAAAAATAAACTGTTCCTTCTAACAAAAATTTGCCTATGATATGGCTATCACAATTTGAAACCATATACACAATGTTTTAGCACTTGGCATTTTATGATGCACAGTATGCACGTATGTATTGCAAATGGTCAACAAATGGGGGTAAAAAATGTAATAAAACTTATTTTGACTAACAAGTTTTCCCCCATATTGATATCGTACATTTGTACCCTGCCAAAGGAGCAAACATGTTAAAAGTCAAATTTTGTTATTCGTATTTTTGAAAAGATGCTGCAGCTTGTGGTTGGTTTTCAGTTTTGTATCTTTCACAACTATAATTTTCAAGCATGTGTGGCCCCACACTCACCCCATGCACACACATGCAGGGCAGATAACACTGCTTTTCACTGACATCAACATCCAACAACTATAAATCGACTTTCCCACACCTTGGACAGGGACCACAAGGAAAACACTTGGGTAAATGTCCTAGCTAAGCTTTCTCTTGGGCATGATATATTATTCAATTTATGATAAAATAAAAAATATGTTCAAGTGATATATACCAACAAATTGATATGAAAAGCTACTCACTACTTGGCAATGTACATGTATATTCAGCTGTGTAACACTGACATCTTAATTGTTATACTGTAATACAAGCCTTTGAACTGTCAACACTTTAGGTCACTGAAAGTATAAAAATGTAGATAAAATATTAAACCTATTATTTATTGGGTATTCTTGTACATGATAATACTAAATAACTGATAAATATTCTTTATCAGTTTATACACTCCTTTTTCATGGAAATTTCAAAATATCACATTTTTTTTTCATCTTACTTAAATCAAAATGCAAAGAAATAGCATGAAAAGGAATATGCAGAATATCTAAAAAATGGCTTTCATATCCTCAAAAGTGACCTATCCCCCTCTCATAATATATCTATCTATACAGAATCAAGTAAACTACATGTCATTTTGCAAGCCATTTCTATTAATAAACATCAAAGCACAAAAAAAAAGCATAACAAGGCAAATACTCAATATTTTATTGTGACATTCATACAAGACATGAGGCAAGACTGCCCCCACATTCACTCTACTGTGATCGCCCCAACCACACACACTGTCATTTCATGAAGTATTTAATCTAGTTAACTTCAAAACACAAAAAAATTGCATGAAAATGCAAAAATTCAATATTAAACTTCGACATTCATTCAAGATGTAACACAAGACTGCCCATGTACAGGTAGTTACACTGAACATTGCAAAATATACTACCTGTCGGAAATGTAGAAAATCAATAAGTTACAGGTTAGGTTCCTACCTAAATTTTTTACCTGTCCAAAATCAAACGTCAAACTATTTAAAAAACTGAACAGATAAAGAAAAATCACTGTTATCTGCATTTGGCACAATTCAAAAGAACGTGTTTACATTTGGGTTCTGTGTGCCGCCATTTTGGAACACGACAGTAACTTGATAGAAGATTCAGTGAAACCGATACTTAAACACTACTTTGGTATATAAAACATAGCTTGAGAATATATTTTATCGTTCTGTCAAGTGCATTAGTAAAATTATCAACATATCAGCGTATAAACGTATGTTCATCTTACCTGTCTCTATGCCTGCTTCTCCCGCCATATCTGAGTAGGCCGCCGCTTCAGGTTTTGAAAACGAGGCCAAATCTAAAGTTCTCCAAAATAACCGTCATATGAGCCGGTGGCTCCCGGGCTGGTAGATGGCGCGATAATTTTGAAGTAATGTCCGCCTTTGTTTCATTTCGACCAATGAAAAGGCGTCAAACATGACATCCCCCCCCCACTCCCCCAGGCATTACGTCACCTTATAAAACGACCAGCTACTGGCGGTGCTATAAATAACTATAGATCTAATAATAGCAAAGGTGATTGCGCAAACACAGAGAGGTCACCAGATTACTGTGAGAGAAAATCTTGAGGAAAACCTTACGATTTTGGTAAGGTATTTTAGGCAAACAATACTTTTATTCTCTGTGTAGATTTTAAGATAGGTTTACTCTTTATGTCAATAAATTATTAAGTTGTCCGATCGGACAACAACTTCGTAATTTTAAGTTGCCCGACGCGCTTTTTTGTTGTCCCGGGCAATCGGACAACCGCTTATTTCGCAGACTGTGTAAT